GCAATCTGACCAGTACCGACAATTATGTTGATTGACAATCCCGTTGAGATAAAAACTGCATTCATCCAAGAAACATATATCGAAAACGAAATTTGGATCTTGTATAGCACGTTCACTCATGATTTCACAAAATTGTATTCGACGATCGAAGTCGTTTTCGTTAAGTTCCTGAACCAGTTTAATTTTGTATGGGTGGAAAATTCGCCAATTGAAAAACGAAACAATTGTTTTTCCTGCAATAGAGCGCCAAAATGAAAAGTTAAGTAGCGAACACTCACATGGATTTGTCCCCCTTTGATTTAAAATTGACATGTTTTTGCATTATGTTCACAACATATGTGTTTTGAAGAATTCGTTTTCGGTGTCGGGTTATGTCGAATCATAATTACAAATTTCTTCCGCCATTTTGGAGCCACCATCTTGATTTTTTGCATTGAAAAATAATTAATAATTTCCGACCCTGAAACCACCACTTATCAATTTTGAATCAAATCGTACCATAATTGCAAATCATTTCCGCCATTGTGAAGCCGCCATCTTGTTTTTTTCCCTGGAAAAACTCCATAATGCATTGTCACCGAATTTATTTCAAATTAGCTTGCGAATGAAGTATCATAATTAGGAATACGGAACAGTTTTTTTCCCGCAAGAAGGCAAAAAAATCGAAAGTTAGGTCGCTGAAATTGACATGACTAAATTCCTTATGAAATTACCTTCTTAACGATGTGTCACACTTACTACTTTTCCTATTCAAATTGTTTGGGTGATAGTCACCGAGGGGTGGGGGAAGAGGTATGACAGTTGAGGTCATGGTAGAAAGATGTCCCCTTCGGATTCAAAATTGACGTGTTTTCGCATTTTTCTCACAACACATGTGTTTTGAAGATATTCGATCTGTTTCGTTTTCGGTGCCCCACCCTGTATAGTCCTCTCAGTGGATCCTTCTACATCTAACTTCCAGAATTCATCGCTTTGAAGAGGGCAGTAGTTAATGTGAGAAATGAAGACCATTTTTGCTTCGCTTCAGCGGTGACATCCGCTCTGCGACCCATTCGAGAACTTCTGAAGTAGGATCATATCCAGACTTCAGAGATGTACTTAATGTTGAAGGCATAGATTTTCCAATGAAATTATGTGATATTCCAAAATTTGAGAATACGAATGATTGTTCAGTCAATGTTCATGGGTATTGTGCCAATGAAGCCATTAACAACATCAGAGAAGAATGAATTTTAACTGCTGGTAGTTGCGGTATTTGTGAGAAACCCTTCGAATTGTGTGATGTCAGAGTGAGAGATAATTGTCACTTGACGGGAAGGAAAAGATATGGAGCTGCACATTCTCCATGTAATTTGAATTACAAGTTACCAAATTTTGTTCCAATAATTTTCCATAATTTGAGCGGCTATGACAGCCACTTGTTCATAAAAGAGTTATGCACTGTGATAAAAACAAGGTGGATGTTATCAGTCACAGAAAGGAAAATTACATTTCTTTTACTGAGCATCTATTGATGGGTACCACAATAGATAAATTTGGTAGATTGAAAAAACAATTTCTGAAGCTGAGATTCATCAATAGCTTCAGATTCATGACGTCGTCACTGCAGCAGTTAGGGAAGAGCTTCTCAGATGAGAAATGTTATGAAACACGAAAGTGTTTTCAGGAAAATGAAAAATTTCTTTTGATGAGACAGTTTGATAGGAGTTTTTCCCTACAGTTTCGTCAAAGATTTGACACCGTTAGATTGTACAGAGCTACCATCAAAATCCGATTTTTATGATCAATCGAACGGGAAACCTAAATCTGATGATGATTATCAGAGGGCAAACCGTGTATGGTCCTTGTTCGAGTGTGAAACGTTAGGAGACTATTCAGATCTGTATTTTAAATCCGATGTATTGATTTTATGCGATATTATCGAAAATTTCCGTGATATATGTCTGGATAAATATGAATTAGATCCAGCCCACTATTTTACTTTTCCCGGCCATTCTTGGGATGCCATGCTCAAATACGTCGGTGTAGAGCTGGAATTGGTCACGGATATTGATATGATAACTTTTTTCCAAAAGGGTATTCGTGGGGGTATTAGTCAGTGTTCTGAAAGGAAGCATTATGCTAATAATCGTTTTCTGCCAGATTATGATGATGATGAGTCATCATCATTCATCACTTATTTGGACACTACGAACTTCTATGGTCGCAGTATGTCTCAACCATTACCGATAAGTGGGTTTTCATGGCTATCCGAACAAGAAATTCTTCAACTAGATATCATGGGTGTTCCAGACGATGGTCCTAAGGGTTATGTTATGGAAGTAGATGTCCATCACCCTGAAGAACTTCACAATTTCATGAGGGAAAATGTGGAAAAATCCGATACATCCAACTACAAAGTTGGAAATCAGTTTGCTATGCCTATAACTGAACCAATATTGGGAAAGCTGAAAGACGAATTTCCTAATGATCCAATTATCAGTTTTTATGGTACCGGCGCAAAAGTATATTATGTCAAGTCCGTTAGTGATGAATTGAAGAAGGCAAAAGGGATAAAAAAAGTCGGTCATACAAAATGAAATGTCACTTAATGATAGAAACATTATAGTCGAATCAGGTGATGTCATATTGCGTGAGATGAGCACTTTTCAAAGTGAGTTACACGATGTGTATACTCTAATGTGTAATAAAGTTGTGATAACATATGAGGATGATAAGCGATTCATCATCCCTAACGATTCATCATCCCTATGTCAGTAATATATCTTGTTTCAATCCAATTCCAACACAAAGTATTGTAAGTGTGTAAACCAACACTTTTAGCGCCAAGAGACATTCCTCATTTTCTACCTCGGATTTTGAAAACAACATAAGTTTTTTTAATTGACTTTCCGAAGTTTGTTCAGACGCCTAAGAAAAACTAAAATTTGAATCTTCCCTACAAAAGCTGATATAAAGCTTTCATACCCTCAGCAAATCCTCCGGCACACACGATTCTATAAAAAGAAACAGCATTGCAGCACAATTTTCACTGCTAACTCCTAGAGTCTTGAGTGACCGCAATTGTGTCTCGATTCTATCATATAGATTAGTGAGACCTAGTTTCTTCACCGACATGGCATTATTCAAAACGAGATTCAAAAGTTCTCGTACATATACTTCAATCTGAAGATCCTACCTGCCGGAACGAGATTTCAAACTATCAATGACATTTTGATAATTGTCAGCATTGGGAGGAAAATTTTCTACTGATTCTCTAGCCCTACTATTTGAAATAGTGGCTTGGAACAAGTAATGAAATTCATCAGCGGCATCTATATCACAATCATCATGCATTTTTCTAAATTGCCTCCAAAAGGAAAGCCAATCTCTTATATCCCCATTGAATTCTTAAATCCATAATTTAAATTTTCCCATGCCGGAGTGTCTACTGGATATTTTACTTACTGCTGTAGCTCCGTCGTCCCCGACAACGTTGATTGCTTCTTTCAATTGTACATATTCATATTTCAATACCTTGAATCTTTTCGCATATCTGTCACATGAATTCATGTCTGCTTCTAATTCATCTTCCGAAGCATTCGCTTCCAAAAAAGAATCGAAGACTTTCTTGTTGACTTCTTGCGAAGATTCATATATTTCTTGTAGAAGATCCCACTGTACTTCAATATCCTGCGGTTTCGTTCCTTCTGTCGTTATTTTTTGTTCCAGGTCATTTCTGAAGTTCGAAAGAACCATGCGAAGAACTTTACTTCTTTTATTGCTCTCACGATAAAATATGCGTTAACGGTAATTATTTTATGGGTTTTATCGTAAAATACAAATTGATCGCGTCCTACGTTTTAGGGCAAGCGCACACTACAGATTTTTTATCGACCGATAGTTTAGTTGAATGCTTATTAGTATAGAATAGTTAGGGCACACGCAGACTACAAACTTAAAAATCGGCCGACAGTTTAGTTGGATCGGGCTGTGTCCTCACACATTTACCGATAAAACAGTATGACTGGTGGTCGATGCGCAGATTACGCTACCAGTTCGGAAGTGCGTTACATCGTGAGCACCCGAGACAATGTTATCCAGAACTGATCATTGTTCTCCTCGCCATTAAGTTGGTTCCATTTAGGAATAACTACTTCACATACTTCCTTCAATAATTGTTTTTTGGCATTTGCATCCGAATATTCCTTCATGCTTCTCTATCTCTTCGATGAAAGTTTCGATCGCGTTAGAAGACAACATGACAACTGACCGTTAATCCGATGTAGTCTACGTGTGCCCCGAAAATCGTTCAGAAACTTTTATTGCTGCAAAACAGTTACGGATTACGATCAGAATGATCAAAAATTGTACACGATCAACGGACAACTTCTAACTTCTCAAAGTACTCAAAATGACAACTTGCCAAATCTGAATATACAAATTGAACATGAAAAATGTCTCATACAGTTGGTAAATACCCCGTATATTCAAAGATCTGAGATGATGGCAGATATTCATACTCAAACTATTCCGGAACCAAAATACATATTTTGTTTCGTATGTTTGGCAGCTATCCACATGAGTTTCGAAATATTATAACGAACTTGTTGGTCTTTCATCGAAACCAGGGCCCAAATACTAAATAATTCGTGATCCAATACCAGACGGTGCTTTTTCAACCTGCCATAGGTCTCATCACTGGTCTGAATCTTGAATGTCTAATTGGACTCAACAGTCCCTGAAGGAAAAGCCTTAGTGAAAAGATGTTATCCCCCTTACAAAAACGCCATCCTCAATGACTCATTCATAAACAAATGAAAAATGATTATTAACTTTCAGTTTTCCTCCTGGTGGAAATATAATTTGTCCTGCATGATTCCTAACAGATATCCATTATTCCGAAAAGGGGAATCTAGAAATCAACCAGTAAAATTCCAACTAACTAATCTATCAATAAAAAGATAATTAACTCGTGATATTTCCTTTATTTCATGATAATCACAAGTGTTTTTGGACTGATAAATATTATTTTTCTCAAGAATTGTACAGTGAAACATTATCTGAATATCATCTGTGATCACTGTGTATTCATAATGTACGCTTTGGTGGTACTCACGACATTGGTTGCTTCCATCCTCAGTTTTACAAGCTCGAAAAATTGTACAATTCACAATTTTACAGAAGTATCGTCCGTTTTACAACGCTGTTCAGAAATAACTGTTTTCAATGTCACCGTTCCTGCTGGGAACACACTGGAATTCAATTTGAAGAAGAACTCAGTCGTGACTCTTGAAGGTACCATCACTTTCCAGTTTCAGGCTTGGAAAGGACCTTTATTAGAATTCAAAGGAGACGGAATCACGGTTAAAGGAACAAAAGGTGAGTTCACAGTTCATAGTCTGGGAGAATATTCCGGGGTATGAACTGTTGAAAGTTTTTTGTATAAAGAACACAGAAAGAGTGTAACTGAACCGCATAGGATGCGATAATGATTGTTGACAAGTATTAATTTTCGCTTGATTTTGCCAAATTTTATGTTGCGGGAAGGAGAGGTGAGTTATCACGTGAAGAATGAATATATCGCTCTTTGGTAACTTTTTGAAGTAATTTTTAACCGCGTAGTTGACAATTCGATATTTTTAATGCAAGCCGTAAATTTAGAGATGGCACACAGGTCTTTGTTTTTGCACTATTCACCAAATTTTCTATATCGGTTGCAATAGCAACCCCTAGGTATTGAGAAAAAAGGGTCAGATAATATTTGTTAATAATAGGTTATATTTTGAATTTCATACAAACTAAATATACAGGGTTAGTCAACAAAATTCCCTTGGTCCATTGCTATCAAGGAAAACAATTTTTCGAATTGCTCAATATTTTTCGCAGTCATATCGATGAGAACTATTTTCTATATTATTTTATCGCATACTGGGTGATTCAGCAGAGCGTGGCCAACCAAAGTTACATTTTTTCAAAAGGAACACCCAGTATATGAATTCGTTATTCGATTCCATATTTCGCTAAGAATTTTTATTTTCGAATTTCCATTGCGACATTGCCAAGTTATTCCAGAAAAACCAATTTTGCAGAAAATATGTTTTTAATTCACCACGCACATGTTTACAGCCATTGAGTAGATAATTTTCAGATATAGTCAACATCACTTTGATAATTTCGAAAATCTCAACTTTCGAAAATAATATATAGGGTGTTCGGTAAAACTGATCAAGTTTCGTACATTTCCAAACAGACATAATTAAATTATGATGCACTGTTTGGAACCTTTGGTGTAGTAATGAATATTACTGCAGTTTTTTTCCCATCACGAATTCGTTATTTTTAACAACTCGACACTTGTTTCGATCACCAAGTGATCATCTTCAAGAGGAAGATTAAACTAGCAATTTTTAATCTTCCTCTTGAAGATGATCACTTGGTGATCGAAATACGTGTTGAGGTGTTAAAAATAACGATTTGGTGTTGGGAAAAAACTCCAGTAATAGATTTAATTGAACTTTTTCAAATAGAAAACCCTATATTTTTTCATTTGTATGAAATGTTTCAACATTTCACTACATTCCGCAGGTATTTTTCACGGAAAAAAGATATCTTACAAATTATACCCAGTTTTATTATTTGTTGTAACCACAAAAAATTCATTTATTTACGTTCACATACTCAACATTTTTTCAATATGAATAATAACGCCTAATTTTTTATTGAATAGTGGAGTCCAAAAGATGTTCAAAAAGCGACCGTTATCTGCAACATATCATGTTGAATTTTCTACATGTTCCAGCATATCCTCTGAGATATCCCTGAAAGCTCCCTGATTCTCCGTTCATGTCTTCTATAGATGTTGAAGAAGTTTGGTGGAAAATCCATTCGATATACCACCATAAAAAATCCATTTTAGTCCGGTCAGGTGATCTGGGTGGCCACGCCACAGGCCCAACCCTACCTATCCATTTTTGACTGAAATGATCGTTGAGGTATTCCCGTACCTCAGTATTAAAATGTCATGGTTGTCTTGTTGTAGCCACATTCTAAGTCTTGTTACATATGGAATCCCGTCCAATAAATTCGAAAACTGCTGACGAAGAAATCTTACATATTTTCTTCCAGTGAGATGCGTATCCAAAAAATATAGACCGATAACTCTTTTTCCGAAAATTCCATCCAAAACATTCAGTGACCAACGCTGTTGATGGTTCAGGCAATGAACAAAATGAGGATTTTTCATTGCATAATGCATTGGTCTTTTTCAAGCCCTATCGGCAAAATTGAACTCGTTTTTCAAAATCTCTTTCTCTTAACTCTTGCATCAATTGCATGTGGTAAGGATCAACTTTGCTTGCTCGTATCATTCGAGATACGCTGGTTTGAGAAAATCCTAATTCCCTTCTCAGGTCTCGGGTACTCACATGGAGTTTTTCAACAAGGTGAAGTGAATTTTGAAATGTATTCTCTTCATTTGTTTCAGGGCAGACACGTTCAACCTTCTCATGATTGACATTATCACTTTTTTCAAATCTTTTTTTTAGAGCCTGAAATGCCCTTTCATCGGTTGTCTTCTTTCGAGAAACTTCACTTTGTAAATCCTTGATGCAAGGACGTATTTTCCGTCACAATACCCCAAAGCATAGAGCATTCGCACCATATCTTCCAATTCATAATGAAAATGATTCAATCTACACGCGAAAGAAACTTCAACTCATGGCGTTATTGACAAATTTCGTCAGTCATGGATAACTGATATGGATAACTGGTATGAAAAATGCTAATGTACCTACTAGCGATTAGTTTGAATATACGAAAAACAAATTTGAGAAAGAGAACGTAGGAAAATAAATTTTTTTGTGGTTACAACCATTACTAAAACTTGGTTTGTTTGTAAAATATCAGTTTTTCATATAGTATACCTCTGATAAAATATGTAGTGAAATGCTGAATCATTTCATACAACTAGAATTTGTTCCATTCGGAAAAGTTGAATTGGGTCTGTTTGAAAATGAATGAAACCTGACCGGTTTTGCCGGTCTTTACATTCAAGTAAGGTCATAATATTCAATGACAGGAATTCAGAGTAGTAATAGTTTGATGAACAATTGAAACCTTAGTGGAGTTATTTCAATGTGCTATTATATTATAATGATATGAATAAAAGCTAAACAATAATCAAGTATTTTCACAGGCTCTGTGATTGATGGAAGAGGAGAACTCTACTGGGATCATTTGGGCGATAAAGGATTAACTAAACCTCAATTAGTTAACATAGTCGCTTCTAATGATTCAGTATTCCAGAATCTTCATTTACGGAACTGCCCAAATCATTGTTTTTACATCAGGAATAGTGACAACGTTACTATATCTGAAATAGATATTGATGTATCTGATGGCAATAAGGTTAGTATAAGAGAATGCATGTACAAAGCGCAAATGAACTTTTTGTTTCATCATTAGAACGCTCTGGCCAATTGCAACGACGGGCAACATTTTGTTGGAAAGAAACAGAACAAATGTAGGAAGTCATGTGTCCGAAACTACAAATGTGTGTTGTAAATATGTACAGATGTTCATTTGTGCTGTTCATCGCAACCAAGTATTACTTTGTTCTGCATTTGGATATAATAATCGATTACTATCAATTGAAAGTGATGATAATGATCCCATTTTTCTCATTGTAATTAAAAAACTATTCTGGTGATCATTGTATTTGCAGTATATTGATCATATGATAATGTTCGTGAAAAAATCATAGAAATCTTCGAGAATCAAAGATGAATGATGCTGCTCAAGGTGACCATTTGCAAAGCCAAGCTTCAACATCGACCGCCGACGAAATTCGTCCTCTATCTATCACTTCAACTAGTTGAAAACCAAAACCGAAACACAATGCATTAACGATCTAACACCCGATATCAGTGTTTAGAGCCGCCATTGGTATCATCATTATTTCTGGGCTGCACAACGAATGAATTGCTGGATTCAACTGTCTGAGTAAAAGGGTGCGATGGCATATGCCTTTACGGAAATGCCATCAATTGGATCGAGAGAGAACTAAATCTTCTAAGATCAGACATAAACGAGCCTCTCCAAATGGTCAGTAGCAAAATCAAGCTTCGACATCGAACGCCAGTGAGATTCGTCCTCTGGCTTTCACTGCAGGTTTCACTTGTTTACTCGAGCTTGCCTTTCAAGAACCATTGCATCCAACAATGAATTTGTGGTTCGACCTAGCACCATTGATGATACCTTGCGTGGCTCGAAACAGCCCTGCCTGGTATTGGAACATAAATGCGACGTGGTCGGGCTTTGGTTATTATCTAGTTGCCTTGCAGTCAAAGACATAGGACGAATCTCGTCAGCCATTGATTTTAAAGCTTGGATTCGTATGTGCTGCTTCGGACAGCCTACTTTCACTATAACATACTGCCTAATAAACTCTAAGAAATTGACTACATGAATGAATAAATAACAGTTTCATTGAGTTCCGTATTTTAACGAATCGGTTTAAAGCACCTTCTTCATACCAGAATTGTAAGTGTCATTTCATGAATTACAGCAAAACTCATATTTTTTTAGAATAATTTTACAGGACACAATACTGATGGTTTCAACCTTGGTTTTGTGACCAACACGATCATAAAAAATTGCACTGTGAAAAACCAAGACGACTGTGTATCTATTAATGCAGCGTCAAATATCTCAATCAGGAATATGGATTGCTCCGGTGGCCATGGGTTGAGTATTTCGGTGACCAGGAATCCAGTGGATAATGTTACGTACAGCGATAGTATTGTGAGAAATTCAGCCAATGGACTACATGTCAAAACGCACACTAATGGCGGAGAAACTGTAATTAGTAATATTACGTATAAAAACATCAAATTGGAAGGTAATTTCGAACTCAACTCTTCCATAATTACTTCATGAAATGAATAAATTAAACTTGTCTGTTGTTGATGATTGGCATGATTTGATTATTCAGTGAGTTGAAATAATATGATAACACAGAATTTTTGTTCAAACATTCAATTGTTGGTGATATCAGATGTGCATTTAGCGGGCCTTATTGGGATTCGAATCAGTATAGTATCAGGAATTTGGACGATGAACCTGCCCATTCAGATGTGAAGTACATTTTTCTCCTGCTGAAATCCACTTCATTCAATACATGAACTATTTTCATTTCTGTAGATGAAATATTCTGAAAACGATTGTACGACTCAGTCAAAGACTGCGTATTTTTTTATCGAGGCAAAATGGCCTAGAACATTGAAATCATCATTATTGACTATTTTTGGTCATATTGTCTGTTATCAGTTGCCACGAATTCATGTAATAGTCTCTATACATATTTATTCCCATTGAATATACGATCAGTACCCTTTGCAGATTTTCCATGTTTGTAGTACAAACCCACTATCTTGATCCGGTATTGAAGTAAAAATTGGGTTGTTTCAAAAGTTTTGACCGTTTTTATGAGTTTACTTCGAACTGTAATATCTCGGTGAATACGTATTCAATTCGAGCGAAATAAGCGTCATAAGAATAAATGCACTTTTGGCAACTTAACACAAGTCGAATAATATCGTCAATACAAAAATTGTGTACTCAGGATTCAAAAAATTCGACGTTGCCGAGGAGCAAGAAGAACATACATTAAAACGTGACAATTGCGGTCAAACGTTCAAATCGTGGTGCATACAGTTACAAAGCCTTTTTACTTTTCCAATACGTTTAAAACCATAAAAACTGCATAAGAGCTGACGCCCAGTTCTTTCGCCATCCCTCGCACCATTTATGATGGGTCAGTCTCCACCAGGGCCCTTAAATCCTCATCCAACATTACTGTAGGTTGACCACTTCGGGCTCATCTTCGAGGCTAAAATTTCCGGAACGAAATTTCGTAAACCAACGTCGAACAATTAATTGGATTCCAAATAATTGAATTTGCAAGCTTTTTTTGCATAGTGCAAAATTTCCGTATCGTTTAGATGAGAACTTGTGGTCGTATCCCAGGAATGGTTTGAAAATGTCGAATCATTTTCAGCTAGTCTGAAGAACTTTTCATGTTCAGCATACCGTTTTGAGAAATTTCTACCACATCGTCCCACATAAACACTCCGGAGACTTCAGCTTATAAACTCCAGATTTCTCCATCTTGTCCACTTTATCTTTGGCATTGAAAAGGAAATCATATATCCTGGCATGCAACATGTAGGCTGATAATTTATAACTGTCTGGATGGAAAGAATCACTTGGAATGGTAATGTTAGTATGATAGTTTTTTTGTAGTTTTCAATAAAAAAAGGTATGACATTACTTGTCGACAAGCGTGCTTTAACATTTTTTTCATTTTTAAAGGGGACTTGTGATAGCTTGATTGATATATGTTTCAGTTCTATATCTAATATTGATTTACTTTTGGCAATTTGGCAAATATGAAAAATATATAACTCACTTCAATTCATCCCAATAAGTATTCAGAATTTTCAATATTCTTTTGTCAAACTTGAGAATTCGTTCCTTGCAGTGAGAAATGTTTTGAAGGTTATTTTGTTGCAATCACTAACCTATTCAGATTTCACGAATCTGAATAAAAATCTAAGAGTGTCATATCAGGAGGTTTAGCAGGCCAGTCTGAGTCATGTCGTTAACCTATCCACCGGGTATGATTAGCAGGTTTTCCATCTCATTTGGGTTTGTTAATTACCCAAACCGGTGAATGTGCAGACGTGGTTGTGTCTCATTAGGACCCGCTAGATCACTTGACATGATGCCTTCAGATAATTTCTAGGAAAACATGAAATTCCTTTTCATGTCCGAACCGTCCATGAAACCCTAACATATCAAGTTTTTGTTTGCAAAAATATTCGTTAATAATTCATCCGACTATATTTCTATGGATTAACTTCTTTTGAAGGAATATTCTTTTGTCAAACTTGAGAATTCGTTCCTTGCATTGAGAAATGTTTTGAAGGTTATTTTGTTGCAATCACTAACCTATTCATGAGTTTTCAAATTAAGTGCGGTTGTATAACGTATACTTCAGATTTCACGAATCTGAATAAAAATCTAAGAGCGTCATATCAGGTGGTTTAGCAGGCCAGTCTGAGTCATGTCGATAACCTATCCACCGGGTATGATTAGCAGGTTTTCCATCTCATTTGGGTTTGTTAATTACCCAAACCGGTGAATGAGCAGACGTAGTGGTGTCTCATTAGGACCCGCTAGTTCATTTGACATGATGCCTGCAGATAATTTCTAGGAAAACGTGAAATTCCAATTTTTACGATACGCAACTGCAGTTTGTTTCAGAATTCATGCATAGAACTTGGGATAGAATAAAAGGTCATTTCTAGAAATAAATTCAGAAACATATCATAATAATACTTCACCATTGTCAGGAACAGAATAATAAACATTTTCAACATTTATCCGAAAAACCTGAAAAGATTTTATTTGTTTTTCGAAATTCTGATTTTCAGTGTTTATTCGCAGGTTCTTGAAAATGATTTAAAACTATCAATTGTTCAGGTACGCCTGACTAGATTTCTCTAAATGAATCATTGTCAAAAAATATAAAGCATAAGGTATCCCAAGGATTTCAAAATAAGTTGATAGTGCCCTTTCAGCGATAAGTACACTATTGCTTTTTTCATTGTGAAGTACTAAACAGTATTCTCCTGATGTAAATTTTGTCCTATTGAAAAGTTAGGAGGGGGATCTTTTCATGTCCGAACTGTCCATGAAACCCTAACATATCAAGTTTTTGTTTGCGAAAATATTCGTTAATAATTAATCCGACTATATTTCTATGGATTAACTTCTTTTGAAGGTATAACTAACTTTGGTATAAACATACAAGAGGACTACAAAGATGGAGAAGGTACAGGCATTCCAGCAAATAACATCAAAATTGTTAATTTGATCATAACAAACATCACTGGAACTATGAACGGTAAAGACTCGAAACCGGTGCAAATAATTTGTGGGGATACTGGATGTGCAAATTGGCAATGGTCTGACATCTACATCGTAGGCAATTCGACTCCAAGCTATTGTAACTATGCACCTTCCGGATTTAACTGCTGAAGTAGTTGTCTTTTTAAAATAAATTATTTCTGAACAGAATAAATGTTTTTATTTTTTGTCATTCTTTTTCCTTTTGTTCATTCTGTAAGAACTTTGTGTCCAAGATAGAGAGGGCATGGAGACATGAAGTTGCTTGAATTCAGAAATAATCAACCATTTGAGACCTTATTTGAATTTTTGAGAATTTTGATAAGTTCCGGAAATAGGCGAGAACTGAAAGTTGTCAACTTCATTTCAGCTTAATTCCGACTTAATTTAGGAAGATATTGAAAAACAGATGGAACACTTTCCATTATAACTTTTCTTCATGTATAAGATTGTGTTTACACAATGTATCACACATAATCCTTTGATTAGTATTGATGTGAAAAAACTCAATTTTTGAGATTATTTCAATGTCAGCACTTTTTTAGAAATAATAGCACATCTAGGCCACGAAACCGCCACAAAAAGTCTAGACGAGTACCGAACAGACTGCAGAATTTTACGAAGGACTTTTACCGATATGAAAGGCCGCCTTCTCGTCCAGAGAGAGCAATTGAGTTTAGGAAGCAAATCGAGTGGGTAAACAAAGAATTCAAATAGTGGAGATGAATTAACCGTTAGTTGCTAAGTGTTGAATATAAATTGGTTTGTGACAGTGAAATATTGTTAGAAAAAAATTTGTTTAAGACAGTTAATTCTTTAATTTTTCACAATTGGTGATCGGAAGTGGATTTGTAAAATAAATCTGTGAGCGCCTGGTGGACAATCTCTGTATTGCGGTGAAATAGACAATAAGAGACTACATGTGTTCTAGGAAAGTGCGCCTAGTAGACTTGGGAGTTGCCGAATTAAAGCAAGAATTGGAGAGAGAACTAGATTGTTCTGAAAAGATATCAGTACTCCAGAAGAGATTGTGGGATAACTTGACGGAATCAGGAGAAGATCCCGACATATTCATACGAAGTTTCTGATGGTGATTTGAGTTCAATAATGAACAAACTCGATAGACTTCAGTAAAATTCGGTAAGCCTTGAAGAGAAGCTTCTGGAAAATTTGAAAAGCTTGGAAGATGAATTTCTAGAGAATTCGAAGAGTTCGCGAAAATTCGGTGGGTTTAAAAGATGAACTTCAACAAAATTCGAAGTGCCTGGAGGAGAAGCTTCTGGAAAATTCGAAGAGTTTGGGAGACAAACTTCTAGAAAATGCGGAAGGCTTGAAGAAAGAACGTTGTAGTGTGGCGAGTCTACTCGAAGAAAGGATAAAACCATCAAGACAGAGATAGACAAATCAGGAAGGAAATGAACACGGGAGTAGAGGGTATCAAAGGCGGAGTTCAGGCAGAAATCAGGCAGAAATCAGCAAGATGAAGGAAACAATTGGCAATTTGCAAAACCAAATCGATAATTCTGCCCACAACACAGAAACTGGTACCGAAAACTCAATTTCGGAACTGAAAGATGTCAAAGTCAGTTCTGGACCAGAAAAGCTCTACATGAAACTGCCCCAGTTTGACGGAAAAACTCCTTGGGCAAATTACCACCGACAATTCGAAGCTACGACCAGAGCGAATGGATGGAATGCAGGAGAAAAGGCGGTAGCATTAACAATGGTGTTGCGTGGGAAACAATGAATATGTCACAAATCCTCATGGCTCAAGAACAGGAAGACAATGACCAACTTATAAAGCCATTTGAGCTACGGTATGGACAGGCACACCTAGAGCACGTTTACCATTCACAGCTGAAGAATCGCTGTCAGAAATCAGGAGAATCTCTACAAGAATTTGAAGCCAAAATTGCTCGATTGGTTCGTCTAGCATATCCTGCTATAAGGAAAAATGTAATGGAGCGGTTAGCAGTTCAGGCATTCTTGGACGGACTTCACGACTAAAAAACGAGGCAGGCCTTGACACTCAAAGATCCAAAACATCTCGTGGCTGCAAAACAATCCAGCAAGAGCCAGAGCAAAGTTCAAGCTATCGACGTAGATGGACAGGTGCTTACTGATATTGCGGCCACCATTAGAAAGGTAATGAAAGAAGTGTTGCTTGAGCGAAAAAAATAAGATGCTGGAACTGTGGTAAAATCAAGCATGTATGTAGCAAATGTCCAGCATTCAAAGAACCAACAACAAATTAGGAAAACTAGAGGGGGTCGATGAGAAGGGGCAATCGTCGGCCTATATCCAGTAAGCCCCCGTAAAAAACGCATATATTACCATTCTCCAACGACAAGACAAAGGCGTTTTCGTAGACGGCTTCATCAACAACCAGGCTTGCACCATGCTGCTAGATACAGGTGCGATGAGAACCATTTTTGAGCCAACCTTTGCCCAAACACCGACAAGAATTGAACCGTCAAGTTGGAAGCTACGCACCGCAACAGGGGAGCCAGCCACTGTACTTGGAGAACTACCAATTGAATTGGTGTTAGGCAGTACTGAATTGAACCATCGTGGATTGGTGGCGGACATCAAGGACGATGTGATTATTGGAATGGACATAATGAACTCCAAAGGATTCTAGCTGAATTTTCAAGACGGCTTCCTACGTGTCGTCGAAGAAGAGCTGGTGCTTCATGGAAGAAGCGAATAGATAATCAGGGTTCTGCTGGCTGAAGACGTGTGCGTAACTTTGAGAGCTGAAACTATCCTGAAGGCTCGCTTGGACGGAAGTGCGAGCAGTGGCAAGGTGGTAATGTTCGAGCCCAAGATACATGATGAGAAAATTGGACAAGGAATCGCACTGGGAAAGACTCTGTTGCGTGTTGATAAAGTTGTGCCGTTCAGGGTCATGAATGTCAACTACTTATCCGTAACCTTGAAGAAAGGAACAATGCTGGGGCACTGTTAGTTCATTTCGTCTATGATACGGAGTGTTCGCAGTTCGGTTAGCCAAGCCAAACACTTGCCTAAAGAGTTGGAGAAGTTGATTGACATTTCCATCAAAGACATACCATCAACTCACTGATATTGGGGAAGGAAAAGGCGGCAGAACGAATGTAGTTCAGCACAGAATCGACACTGGAAATGTCCGACCAATGTATTCATGCGTCTGAAGAGTTTTGGATTGAAACTTATTCCCAAGAAATGCCATCTGTTCCAGAAAGAAGTCCGTTACCTTGGCCATATCATCTCTAGGGAAGGAGTGGCAGTAGACAAACAAAAGATCAAAGCAGTTAAGGATTGGCTCATCTCGAAAGACATACATCAGCTTCGGACCTTGTTTGGTTTGTGCACCTACTACCGCAGATATATGCTGGGGTTTGACCATTGACCCGACTTACAGAAGGACAGATCCAGTTCCAGTTGTCCAAGGATTGCCAAGACTCATTCAAGAAGTTGGAAAGAGCTTTGATCAACGCTCCTGTTTTGAGCCATCTCCTACAGAACGAAAAGTTCATTTAAGATACGGACGCCAGCAACGTGGGACTTGAAGCAGTCCTCTCTCAGATCCAGGATGGACAGAAGAAAGTTATTGACTAATTCAGCGAAATGCTCAGTAAACCAGAGCGCATTTATTGTGTCACCAGACGAGAGCTGTTGGCCGTTGTCAAAGGTGTAGAGCATTTTTGAAATACGTGTATGGAAGAAGATTTCTGTTGAAAACGGACCATGCAGCTCTCAAATGGCTTCTGCAGTTCAAAAATTCCGGGGGCCAAGTAGCGCGCTGGATTGAGAGACTTCCAGAATTTGACTTCGAATTAGAATATCGAGCTGGGACTAGCCATAAAAACGCAGATGCCCTGTCACGGAGACCATGCCCCGATGACTGCTCACATTGTCGATGACCAGAAGAGAAGGAAGCTGCTATTTGTAGAGCTACAGCTGTAGACGACAACTGGGAGGATAATAAGATCAAGGAAGACCAAGAAAAAGATCCAGAGCTTGGATCGTATGGAACAAAAGTAATCAAAAACCATTGTGGCAGGAGGTTGTAGGTTATTCGCCAGCGGATAAGTCCTACTGGGTCCAATAGAAGTCCCTTACCTTGGAAAAAGCTGTACAACTCTAAGCGACGCCGTGGTTCATAACCGAAATTGCGGAACTCGTGGGAAGGTTCGTACAAAATCATGAAAAAAATTAATGACCTCGATGAAAGCCTAGGGTCGTCCATTTCGATAGATTTACTCCTCATTTCGGAAATCACGACCAAGTTCGTGCCCTTAGACCACCAGAGGATTAAATGACGTTCCGAAAGTTCATGTCTTTATACTCGAACGGACAGAAAGTCGTACATGGGGTTACTCAAGAATAACCACGAGACTTTCTCTAGGTTTCAGTTGATTACGCACTAGCTCACTACGTGGCAGAGGATCTCCAAATGTCAATGGATATCGCTGTGGTATTCAACAAGAAATTCGGTCAGCTCCAAACATTACGAGAACAGAATCCTGAAGTCGGAGGAGCGCTACAGTTGAAGAAGGGTCAGAGAAACATTTCATATTTGATGACCAAAAAGCATCATCGAGAGAAACCGCCTATGAAGATGTCTGGAGGAGTCTTACCAGTCTGAGGGACACGATGCTCGACCAGAATCTCGTGGGCTTGGCAATCCCGAAATCAGCCTCTGGGTTCGACAGGCTGGATTGGAGAATTGTGAGAAGCATGTTGGAAACGATCTTCAGATCCAGCGGCATTAAGATTTTGGTACGCGGTAATCATCTTCCACGATCGAGCATGAAGACTGTGGAGTGTTACTTCCATCGAACTTCACAGTGCAGATATGGGGAGTCTTGCAGGTATCGACACACGCCAAGGATGACATTTCGGGGCGAAACATCTTTAAGAAGGTGGCAATGTAACGAATCTGAAGCCGCCCCTGACCCATATGCCGGCTAATTCATCGAATAAATACATGACTCACCGCGAAAGAATGCAGTCTGAAACCGCCGCGAAATACTAAGCAAGTACTATAGAATTCTACGATGAACCTTTACCGATATAAAAGGCCGACTTCTCGTCCAGAGAGAGCAGTTGAATTTAGAAAGCGAATCGAGCGGTTAAACAAGGAATTCAAATAGTGGAGATGAATCAAGTGTTAGTTGCTAAGTGTT